GAAAAATATAAATTTTTATTTTGTATGTATGGGTATTTTGCCCGCATGTATGTCTGTGCACATGTGTGCAGTGACCACAAAGGCCAGAGGAAGTAGTCTGATCCCCTGGAACTAATTACAGATGGTTGTTACTCACTGTTTAGGTGCTGGAAACTGAACCCAGGTCCTCTGGAAGAGCAGCCAGTACGCCTGAGCCAGTCTCTCTAGCCCTAACAGGACCTCATGTAGTTCAGGCTGGCCTCAGTTTTGCTTTGTAGCCAAGAAATAGCCTTGAACTTTGATCCTTCTGTCCCCACTGTGCTGCCTTGAGCAAGCCAGGCATTGAGTTCTACGCCAGGTACAGTAGCTCACGCCTAGAACCCTAGGACTTCGTCTTTTTACAGGTTTGCTTTTATTCGTATGTGTATGTTTGCATGTATGTAGGAGCATCGTGTGTGTGCAGTGCCTACAGAATCCAAAAGAGAGTACATGATACCCTGGGATGGGAGTTACAGTTATGAGGCACCATGCAAGTTCTGGGAACCGAACCCAGTTTCTCTGCAAGAGTAGTAGATGCTTTTGATTGCTGAGCCATCTCTCTATCCCCAATCCCAACATTTTGGAGACTGAGGCAGGGAGATTATGCCAAGTTTGAGGTCATCTTGTGTTACATAATGAGTTCAAGGCCAGGGCCAGTCTCAGCTACAGACTGGGACCCTGTCTAGAAAAGGAAGTGGAGAGCTGGCTCAGCAGTGACAAGCACATGTTGTTCACAGCACCCTTGCTGGGCAGCTCATATTGCCTGTTACTCTAGCTCCAGAGGATCCTAAGCCTCCTTCTGGCCTCCAAGGGTGCCTGCACACATGTGCACAGATATACAAATTCACACATAATTTTAGAAGAAAATACCTTTTAAAGGAGACCTTGAATTCTGAAATCGGTGAGTTTGTGAGCAGAAAGTAAAGATGGGAGGGGAGTCCTGAAATTCAGGGGCTTATTGTGTAGGAAAATCCCCGCTTTTAGTCTCCAAACAGGAAGTGCTAGAAGCAGCAAAGACACCTGTGACTGCACCTCATGGTAAAAATCACGGTAAGCATGAGTTCCCACTTGAAACTGGTAACCTCAGCCACCACCTTCAAAAAATTGTGGAGAAAGAAGCAAAGAACCAAGCGTGAATGAAGACTGTCGGGAAATAGCTATGCACACTCTCTGCTTAGAAACAAATACAGAAAGGTAGTTTGCGCTGTAGGAGTAGATCAGTGGTTGAACACTTGTCCAGCATACACAAGGCCCTGGGAGGGGAAAGGGAGGGAAGGGAACGGAAGCGAACATTTCTAGTGAGGATGGGAAAGACCATTCTGGTCATGTGACAGCTGAGGATGCAGCTTCCTGGAGGGAACAGGCATGTGGGTATCTTGGAGCTGAGCCTGCCAAAGGAGAAGCAGGTGGGTCTCGCTGTGGCTGGTATGAAATGGCCTGAAAAGCTCTGCAGGTGAGGGTGGACCTTTCCTAGTGGCTAAGGGTCTGAGCTGCTGGGTCAGTTTTTGTTTCTTCCAGGCTGCTGCTAGATTGCTCAGTTTGAGCCGTTTCCAAGAAGTTGAGTCTGGGGGGAGGAGGGTGACTGTCTTTGCAGCTGGGCTTGCCTGACAGCAACTCAGCAGCCTTCACAGCCGCTCTGTAGGCTTAGGAAAGGAGGGGTGGCTAGTGATTTGGTCAATTTCAGGGACTTTCTGAAGCTGTTTTGAGTTTACTTTAAGTTTCCCTGTAGGATGGAGAGTCTCTCCTCCTTATAAACATCCTGTCCTAAAATATCCTGTTGTTGGACTTCTCTCTGACATCTTGAGAAGTTTGCCTCCAAGCCAGGAGATTTTCACCTCAGAGCAAACGGCTACAAAACACCCCAGCACCCATCTGAGTTAAGGTTTCTAGGTTGCTCAATTCCTGCCCTTAAAGTTTTGTATTTTATCATCTTAATTTTTCTCTACACCCTTCCTTGGTCTGGGAACTCATTTGGTTCATTATCATGGCGTTATGAGAAAAGGTTTCACTACACAATCAGTCTTCCTGAAACTCATCTGTTTGCCTTAGCCTCCTGAATACTGAGATCGTCAGTGGAACTTACCATCTGACTCGCTGAAGTGTAAGGGAATGTGTGTATTACCGCTCTGGCGGGGGATGGGGGTTCCTAACGGAGGTGTTGGCAGCTCTTAAGAGGAAAGGTTTCCCCAAAGCAAGTTAGATAGCTCTACAGGGAGAGGTATCCTGGCAGTGGGAAGTCACACTACACAACAAACATCGTACAAGACATTTACTGGGAGTGCTACCTCTGCTTGGGTGAAAGGCAGCAGGGAACCGAACAGGGGACAGACTTATATAGGATTTCTTAGGGGAGGAGCTTGCCAGGGTGGAGATTTCCAGGGCGGGGATTGCTGTGATTTCAAGCCCAGCCCAGGCATTGGTGGATTTTCAGGCTCAGGGATTTGTGGGGTTTGGCGGGTTTCAAATCCGGAAGTAGGCTTTGACCTTTTACCCTACATCGTGGACCTCGCAGAGAACCTGACCTAAGTAGGTCTGCAGCCCCACAACCATGTCCCTGCCACCTTTGCTAGGCATGCGAAGTTCACTGACCAAGTCACTGTTGTGTTAGGAACCACCCAGAAACTGTGCTGCTGTTGTCCTAGCTTTCTAGAATTTTATCAACAGAATTCATAATTTCTCCAGTTAGAAAAACCAGTAGGCAGAGATAACTTACTCAGACCTCGTAATCTGAGAAGACAGTAGGTTAACATCTAGAGGGTTTCCCTGCAGCTCACGGCCAATTGGCAGATTATATGTAAGGAGGGGTAAGGGAACAAGAGCAGTCAATCATTATGGGGCTCAGGTTTGCTCAGGGTCTGGTGGTCAGTCCCGTTTCTGAGAGCTGTGATAGCTATGGTTCTTGTTACCATCCCGCCTGCTCCCCCTCCCACTTCTGCGTATGGTCTCTGTCCCCTATCAGTTTCATTGGCCAGAGCCTACATTTTCCTGCAAAAGTGAGCTGGTTTAATGAACTTAGCTAGCTATCCCTAACTCATTTAGGGAGTGTGGGGGAAGGGTGAGCAGTGATTTCCACATCAACTTTGCACCTGGTTGCTGGGACCCATGCCAGAGGAGCACACATGAGCCGTGAAGTTTCCACCAATAAATCCACGGATGCTTCTAGCACCTGTCTTTCTACCTCGGCCTCGCCTATGCCACCTGCCAGCTGCCAAATCAATGCTGACAGCAGGTGACAGAGACCCAGGCACGGGGCCAGGACCACAGCCCTAGAATGTGTACACACGACCACTTCCTGGCAGAGCACGGAGGCTAACAGTTGTGATGGGGGGGAGATAGGAAGGATGAGGCTGGACTCAGCCTTACGGCACCTGGCCAAACGGCACCCTACATAAACCAGGACCTTGAGGTAAAAGTAAATGAAACCCAACAAGCAAACAGGCAATTCTACTAGTTTCCTGGGATTTCTGTAACATTTACCAGTCTTCGTAGTTAAAAAAAAAAAATAGTTTATTCTCACCATTCTGGCAGAGTTGTACCCGTCTGGGGCCTCTGGAGATCCGGGCTCTGTGTCCTTTAAGTCCAGTGGCTCTGGGTCTCACCTCCCTTCCCTAAGACTGCATCACTCTGGGCTCTGCCTGTCCTTGAACTACCTCCCTCTGCACTGGTTGTATAAAGGAGACATAAGGTGTGTGTCAGGCCTGCTCGGGTAGCCCTCCTCAAGAGCTAGAAGGCAATCACACCTGTACTATATGAAGTGGACTCTTTGGCCCCACTGTGTGATACTCTGCAGGTGCTTGGCCTTAGGACAGGGACAGCAGCTGCTGTGGAAGTCCAGTATTTTCACTTAGTTCCTGTTAGTTCGGAAGACTCATATCTGCACCTGCTACCCAGAATTGTATTTTTATTTAGAATCATTCCCACTTTTAGCGGGAGGGTCAAGACAGGGTTTCTCTGCGTCACTCTGACTGTCCTCTGTAAACCAGGCTGGCCTCAAACCCTCTGCCAACCTCTGCCTCCCGGATGCTGGGATTAAAGGTGTATGCTACCCAGCCACATTTCCACTTTTTAAAAATACCTACAGATTTCTCATTGGTTAAGAGCACTGCAGAGGACCTGGGTTCAATTCCTAGCACCCACATCAAGTACCTCACAGCCTCCTGGAAGTGTAGTTTCAGGCCCTCTAACGCCCTCTGCTGGGCTCCATAGGCACTGCCTGCACATGGTGCACATATGTACACTCAGGCACACACACAAAATTTTGATGTCTACATTTTATTCTAAATACTCAAGTCAAACAAGTAGTAGAGTTGAGCACACTCAGATAAGGAAGTCACCTAACAGACATTCCGTTCTGTGTCAAAGCCACCTTGTGGCTGTAGCAAGCTGGGCCAAGTGGTGCTTTCCTGCCTCGCTAGCCCTAGCATAGCCTGTTTCTCCCCACCCACACTGTAGTTGTCCACTTCCGTGCAGGTGGGAAAGGGTATTCTCTCCTTTTTGTGACACTCTGCCCAACTCCTTCTTTGGGAAACCATCCCTCTTACACTTGGTGACCAGCTGGCTGTGACTCTCTTCAGGAAAAGGCCCATGATCACCCTGGGCCATCAGGGATCGATGCCTTTTCTCTGCCAAGATGCTAAGAGAGCCTAAAGCCCAGGCATCCGAACCCACCCCTCAGTGGGGCCTCTCCTAGCTACTGAGCAGCTGTGTGAAGACGAGCAATCTCAAGACTTTTTTAACTCTGGAGACAGATGTGACTTGCTCACCCCAGTCTGACCTGTCTGCAGTTATGGGAAGGAGCTGGCTGCGAGCACCAGCAAACACCAGCTAGAGTGTGCAGTGGAGCTGCAACACATGCCCTCAGTCCAGTGGGCAGCCGCTCTTCCAGAGACGGGTATTCAGGCTCAAGAGTAGTTCTGGGGGCATCCAAGGCCACACAGGTCTCCACGTTTCCGCCGCGACAGAAGACAGAAACACAAGGTTGGTCTCGGTGCACATGGGTTTATTGAGCTGCTGTTCTAGGGAAACCATAAGGGAAGAGGCTGTGCAGCCAATAGGATGCCGATGGAGGCGGGGCTGAGTCTTCAATGGCTATACAGTAGCTTGTCATAGGTAGGTGACAAGCAATGCCGCTGGTCGTCCTGGGGCACGGGCAGGGCTTAATGGTGAGCAATGCTGACTGCGAGGGTATTCAGGCTGCGGTGCTAACTCCGTATAATCTCCTTAGTGCTTCATCTGCTTGGAAGAGGGCAGTTCTGAATTCTAGGAGTCGGGGTAGTCTCTGCCCTGCTCTATAAGCCCTGGGGGCCCGGTGAGGTGACCATCTCAAGGATGGGGAAGAAAATAGCCAAGACACCTACTGACAGGGGAACCAGAGGCTTCCCAGTCGGACCCTGGCCTCCAGCCCGCAATTCAGGGGCAGGCACACAGGTGTATGAGATGTGAGGACAAGGAAGTTTCACTTCTGGGCGCAGTGGGCTGTGCTGTCCACGGGCCACCTTCCTAATCAGAGCAGGGCCTGGAGAGCCAAAGCAGTGAGGACAGACATCGAGGACACCTAGGGGGGAGGACAAAATGGGGCTGCTGCTTCCTCCATCACCTCTCCAGCCACTCATGCCCCACCTTGGCCTGTCGGGTGCGGACAGTGCAGAAACGCCAAACTCCCCATCCTCTCCCCGAACCTACCTGTGGGAAACAATGCCCAGTATTCTGGTAGGGCTTCATCCAGTCCTGCAGAATTGAGGGCCACAAAGGGTTAAAGGCTTGCATGGCACCATCTATGGGAGTGGAGACATCCAGAGAAGGCTTGGCCGGGAAGCCCTAGAAAAGGGCTCCCCTCCTTTGGGACAAATTGAGACACTCCCTGGGATCTGCGAGGCATGGCCAGAGAATGGGAGGCGCATGCTACAGGATGCCTGTGCCCCACAAAATGCTAGCCTTCATCCTCACAGGAGAGGTTGACAAATGTCACCCCTCTTTACAGGTGAACACAACCACGATTGGTAAGAATTTAACTCTCAGCTACTAAGTGACAGAGAGCAACTTCAAACAGGCTCCCAGAACGCTGGAATTAAGCCGTTCCACCCCGAGGCATGAACAGCAGCGCAAGTGAAGACCAGATTGAGGAAAGAACCTCCTCATTGGTACCAGAGTGGGAGGCTCAGGCAACTCCAGGCCAGTGGGCTCGTTTTAACTCATCCCTTCCGGCCCCTAGCCACCCCTTGACACCTAAAATTCTCTTGCGATCAACGATCTGGAAAAAGCAGCTACTCAAAAATTGTCAGTTTCTGTTTCCTTCCATCAAAAATGGGCTCACAATAGCCAGCAAGATGGCTCAACAAGCAGGTAGAGGCATTTGTCACCAAAACTGACGACCCTAGTTCTACCCTGGGGGACCCACACAGTGGAAGAACAGAGTCTCACAAGTTGTCATCTGATTCCCGTCCATAATAGAATATGCAATAGAATGTGCACAGTTGGGCCCCTAGCCCAACTCAAATAAATAAAGCAACGTAAATATCTTAAGGGTTCCCCACGGGCCAGGCGGCTCGGACTGCGCCGTCCACATCCATGGCTCCCGGCTCTCCAGCCCCTCACCCAAGCAGGGGTTCCTTGTGAAGAGCTTGCGGAAGGCTTCGCACTCTTCCAGCCGGTTCCCGCTGTCCTCACAGCCGCACCAGGGTGCAACGCGCGCGCTCACGTTGTCCAGGTAGTTGGGGGTGACCGCCGTGCCTGCAGGGACCCCAGGGAGCGGTGATGGGCCCCCCGCGTCCGCCGCTGCCTCCCCCCGCCCGGGCCCGCCAGGCCCTACCTATGAGGCCCGCATAGGCGAGGCGACAACGCGGACCCCGCTCCTCCGGGCAGCTGTCGCGGGAGCCGGGCGCGGGAGCGCA